CGGTGGCTGATGAACAAGTGATACAACCGGGTCCACGGTTGATCTGTATTTGGTGGTCGCCAGGTTACGCAATGCGAACGCTTCTGCTGAAAGTTCGTACTGCCAAGGAACAGTTCATGATCAGCACACAACTGAAAGAGTCGCCCTCAGTTGACTGAGCGACGAGCATCGACTCCGAATCGACCACCCAAATGTGATTCCAAGGAGCCCAGACGACCTACTTGAGCGTCCAAATCGCCTGCAAAGATCACAATACCAGTGCTCCTTGCTCGTCGAACAAGCTCAGATAGCTCTCGATAGAAAGCATCCTTCTCAGTGTCAGAACTTCAGTCCGTTGGGCATAAGGCGACACTACAAACAGGTAACGCTTTCATGTCGAGAGGCCTTGAGCTTGGAAGCCTAGATATAATCAAAGAAAAAAACAGTGAGCACTTGGTGTGGATAAAGTAAGAACTGGAGGCTAGACAGACATTTGGATGTTTGGACAGCACGGAGCACCCAAAGCTTACTCCTCGTTCAAGAGACAGGATAACTGACAAACTACCACAGACGGTGCTGCATCCGCCTGCGGGTAGGTCAACGATACTTCTTAACTACTCTACCTTTGTCCAAGTGACTCCGTCGGCACGTTCCAAACCAGCGTTTTTAGTAGCGAATATTTTATCACCCTTTCCGGTTGGTTTTTGTACCCACTAACTTCTAGCAGAAGCCATTCATAAAGAAGTTTGATTTTTCTGTCTGTACAAATGTAGCGTGCTTTTAGTGCATGGGTTCCATGGTCGGAAACACGAAGACTGCCATCTTGTCCATCAATAACTATGAGTGATAAAGACATGTCGGAGAGAACAGAAACAACGGTCGCACCTGCGGGGAAGATATTTTAGGTTGGCAATTGGAACCTGTTTCACTTAGAAGACACAAGCTCCCATCTCCAAAAACTGGGAGAGCTATCAGGTGGAAGGTGTATATGTACAAGGTACGTTCAAGAATCTTAACTGCATAAAATGAGAAGAGCACCATGATGTACGCGTATGCTCACATTGTAAGAATCATTCAGTTGTATTCTTGCCATTATGCACATCTAGCGGTCTTCATCATCGTTAGCTGTAACAACCGCATACTTGCTGTGACTCTAGCTTCCACACTTTCGTTCACTGATTATTTGGAGAGGTGGGGCAGGAAGCTACGGACTGCAGACGGTAGCCGATATAATTGGTGGGTGTCAGTGGACTTTTAACAGTGGAGATTGAGGGAGGTTATACATGGAAGGCAACAGCTTGGATGTACGACTGCCACTGCGAGATCCACTGGGACATGTCTGATAATGCCTCTAATCACTTATGTGTCCCGACCCGAGGTCCCCAGGATGAGGGCAATGACCAGCGCAAATGAGTTTGCTGGTAATGGCTTTCGTAATTCGCTGCCAGATCATTATGTGACCTTCCTTGGTTCCTTCGCGTGTTTGTGCGAAAAGAGTTGTTCGATAAAGTCGAACGACTACCATACGGAGCAGGTGATCAAGAAAGCTAGACCTATGGAATGTGACCAGTTCAACCATCGTGCGTACTTCAGTATTACTGATGCGATGTCTCCACCAGACTCGGCAATACTCCGGAGACGTCGGTGGTCAAACACTGGATGTTTTTTTTTTGATGTCATCAGCACGCAGTGACTAGGTATTCGACCCGTAAAATAATATGCAGCGCAAAGCGGCGTTGTAGATCCGATCCATGACGGATACGCTGATGTCATGCCTACGACACAGGTGACGCAGGTTCACAAAAGCTGCACTGGGCTTCCCATCGTGATGGAAATATAATCTATCGCGAGACCACCGGGACTGATACAGCTTCCCAGGTGGACAAATTTGTCTACTACCTCAATCAGCTCACCCGCAAGCATGAGTTTAGGGTTCGAGGCCACCCAGTCTTGCAGTAACACTTTGCAGTTATGAAGAGTATGCCGAACCGTGAGGTAGAATTATTTAGATTATTTAATATTGTTTGCATTACCACGGCATCAGACCTAAGAAGAGCTACGTCATCTGCGCAATCAATACCTGTGAGCGAACACCCCGGGAGTACTTCGACTCCACAGCCGTTAGATGCTGGTGGTGAGTCTTCCATAATCGTATCAATGACGATAATGAAAAGGTAAGGGTAAAGAGAAAAGCCTTGCCTGACCACTTGACGTGGTGAACTCAAGCGCACCGGAGCTTTCGGGTTCTTTACTATTTGATGTTTGAGGGATTTGCGTGCGTCGTCGTACCAGGTGCCTGTTGGTGTGGATTTCCTGGCATCAAGCAAGACTAGCGATCTCGACGATATCCAGTGGTCCTGTGATAGAATCGGAGAATGCAGACAGGCAGCAGCGAACGCTGCTAGCATAGCTCCTAAAATACATTGCTTCATTCAGGTGCTCCCCACCAATACACTACCGGTACAGTACCAGTACCAACGAGAATTGTTGAGCTAGCTCAGAGAGATACTGTTGAACTGTGGCAGTTCTTCGGAGATGGTGAATTAACATGTTTCTTAGTCACTTAAAGGGAAACAAACTCTCAGACGTGCGCGCACTATAACGTAATCGGAATCAAATTGTATGCCCAAGAAGGAACGGCAGTCTTGAATTGTGGCTCTCCACCGGTGGCTGATGAACAAGTGATACAACCGGGTCCACGGTTGATCTGTATTTGGTGGTCGCCAGGTTACGCAATGCGAACGCTTCTGCTGAAAGTTCGTACTGCCAAGGAACAGTTCATGATCAGCACACAACTGAAAGAGTCGCCCTCAGTTGACTGAGCGACGAGCATCGACTCCGAATCGACCACCCAAATGTGATTCCAAGGAGCCCAGACGACCTACTTGAGCGTCCAAATCGCCTGCAAAGATCACAATACCAGTGCTCTCGTCGCGTCGAACAAGCTCAGATAGCTCTCGATAGAAAGCATCCTTCTCAGTGTCAGAACTTCAGTCCGTTGGGCATAAGGCGACAAACAGGTAAGGTAACGCTTTCATGTCGAGAGGCCTTGAGCTTGATTGAGCAGGATAAGCGGACAGCGCAAAGACGACTGTTCAGTGGGATTAAATCCAGCAAATGGCATTCAGTTCTGGAATTGGGTGCAACTTCCACGCCATATATTCTACGAATCATCGTTTCTGGATGACCGGACACACGGAAAAAGAAATGTCAAAGAGCTGGGTTCGTTCTTTGGATTTTTATATGCATAATCACGCTTAGGTCTTGCATGCGAGTTTCGGGGAAACAGCACATATCAATTTTAAGGGGGTACAATGTCTCATCGAGCATTGCCTTTTGGCCAATTTGACACGGATGGACGTTGAAAGCGGCAATGTAGGAATGATCTCGTTGAGTCAGAAAGATGTTATTTTGTTTAGTGTTAATAGGCAGTGCGGCGCATAAGGCACAATCGAGTGAGGCAGCGACGCTTGCTTGTGGTGGGAAGGGGTTGGGGGGACAAAAAACTATGTGGAGAAATGATACTTCCCGGTTGCCAAGGTCAAGGATGGGGGTTGGTTGAGGCACCATACCTTGAGCCCCTGATCCAAGTCTGACCCACAAGGCAGTAGGAGGATGTAGGGTTTTGTTCAAGAACTATGCCTCTAGCCTCCGACTGAAAAGCATGACCCGCGAGGCAGCGGGTAGTAGGGTTTTCTTTGAAATTGTCTTTCTCATAATTCTAATTTCTTAACTGAGGTAGACGCAAACTTTCTCACGAAGACCACCTCGAGACCAAGACCACTCAACCGCGAGGTGGTTGCTCTTCTATCAGAGCGGAGCATGTAAATTATGAGCACAGTGGCCATGGTGTCTCAACTCCAGAGAACATACGCTTACGTGTATACGGCGCTAGTTTCACGGTTAAAGTTGGTTTACCTTAGTGTTCTGTTCCAGCTTGCACAGATGAGACTGAGTCACAGTACGATTTTCACTGTTTCGAACTAGTACCAATTTTGGCAAACACATACGCACGTGTGGGTGGGAATATGAAATAGTGCTACGCCCCACGGGTGCAAGTGCAGTTGCACCAGATTCGGTTTTTAACAGTCCTTGTTCTGATTTACTGCTGGTAGAAGTGGAGCATACGAAAACCCCAATAACCGGCAACTTCCGACGCAAAACATTTTGGAAAGTGTTTACTATAAAGTGATTGAATTCATTCGTAAGCTCATTAGGAAGGTTGATGATAAACGATACTAGGTTTACTTGACTGTGACAAAGTAACTGAACCAAGCGAAAAAAGCGAGGCAGGCGTTCAGTTAATGAGAAAACTTGATTCACGGAAGAATAGCCTCCGAACAAAGAGCACTGTTTGCATTTCCAAAGGGTGGTCATCACAGGCCGCGATGACAGTAAAAGCTTTTTTTAAAGGCACGGTTTCACCCCACTTAGGCTACCCAACCCCATAATAAACACTAGATTTCCACTGTCGAGATGTCTGGTTGTACAGATGAGCAGCACAAGCGAACATGCTGATTCCTTGTTCGAACAAACCTTTTGGTCAGTCCTAACGAGTTCACCGTAACGAGCAAGCAGCTGAGGAAACGGAGAGACAACATTATCGGACTTACGCCAATCAGGAGAAGCCCAGCTGGCAGTAGGCTCACTAGAACGATGCTAGAAACCACTTGCGGTACGACAGTTATGCGTTAGCGATTTCTTTGTACCACAATCGCACGGAAAATAAGTCAAGTGTCAGCTTAGTTTAGATACAATGAAAACAGGCTACGTATGTAGGTAGATTCAATACCAAAACTAAACTTCGAACAAGATACAGAGCTAAAAAAAGCCGTTGACACCATATCGCTCAAGCCTAGATATCTAGTCCGTCCTAACCGTCGTGGGTAGTATGCGGTTAACTGGAAGCAACAGATCCGGATTTTTTACGGAAACGGCAAAAAGTTCAACAGCTACAATAGAGCCAAAGCATTGACTGGTCAGTGTCGTTTAGGTGTTTGTTTTGAGAACAAAAAACCTACTTGGCGGTGGTGGTTGGTCCAGTTTACTTCGCCGCAGCTGTTCCAAACAATCCTTCAGTGACTCAATGACAGTATCGTCGTCAAACTGGAAATCTTTTACCAGCTCATCCTGAAAAAAGCACGTGAGCTGCGCTTGGTCCATGCGAAGCAGGCGCTCTACAAAAGAAGCAAAATTACTGTTTGAAAATAGTCAATCTACGTTGCTGAGCTGATGAAACTGGAATGGCAAAACTACAGCTTTTGATCTCGAAGGTATGGAACAGCAAGGTCCCTCATGCACACTAAACGATAGATTCCTATCACGTAACTTGTGAGCATGAAAAAATAAAGCACGGCGCTTTCTCAATCGTATGAAGAAATTATCGGGATTTGTCAACTGTTAGAAAGACGCATCTAGTCTCACTCCCTTTTCCGTTTGCTGAGACAAAACCCGAACTTGTGTCTCTCAGGAGACGAAAACTGAATTTACACTATAACAAAACTTCATCACGACTTTTCAGAGTGCGCGCTAAGAGCAGCGTTGAGTCACTCGAGAACAATCAAATATCCTAGTCAGTTGTAACGAAAGCCTGTGACTAAGTAATGACTATTAGGTCCAATACTGCGGCTCAACTATGTTCCATCCCACCAAATAGGAATGTCCCACCGTCTTAATCGATTCGACTCCCATGTACACATATCTGTATAGGACATGGCCTCATACATTCAGCGCCATGACAGTAATATATCACTTGACGTGGTTTTGTGGAGCGTTGCGAGCGAATGCACGGTAGTTAAGCATTTCATCATTATCATCATCGTGGTTCCAATCAGTTCACTCGGAACCAGGGAAAATTGGTTTGAAATTTGCTATACCCGTGAGTATCAATTCAAAACCATGCAATCTGGCCATATGCACGTAGAAAATCATGAGCCCATGTGGACGTACAGTTATTTTACACCTATCCTTTATTCCTTTCACATCTGTCACACGTAAGATTGAGCGTGTTTGAGCCCCTGAGTGTATCGTCGATTCCGACGAGGGAAAAAGTGACTTCACCGCCATCTCGCATACTGGGCAAGCTGTTTATACTGTGCCAACATCATTACATTTTGGCACAACACACTACTCACAAGGCTGCTGGAAACTCCTCGGGCTTATCAAATAGGCCCAGTCCCCGAGTTTTCATTAACTTTATGCTTTATTCGAAACCAAACTGCACGAAATTGAAGTTAAATAAGAACATCATAAACAGGAGATTAAGCTGGGTTCCAGGCAAGGCTCTCATGAAAACCAAGTTGCTATGCAGATGAGTGCATCAGTCGAAAACCTACGTGTTCTTTGCAGTGAACCGGACGAACGACAGGAGATGCAACAAGCAGCAACAAATTGTCGACGCATTAGTCAAGTTGTAGCACAGTCGTCCGCACGCCGCTTTCACTCGAACAAACACGTAGTTAGTAGGCGGGAGTTACTTGGCATACAAACACTGATTCAATGGCGACTAAAGTCTAGTTTTCTCAACAGAGACTAAAAACTTCTGTGGAACGCAGGAAAGGGAAAAAGGAGCATATTGATTCAGAGATACTAATGGCAGAAAACACGGTTGGTAGTCTGAAGTCAGAAACGGCATGTTCCCCAAGGAACTTCTCCCAACCACATCGCACGCAGCACTGAGGTCAGAACAATACTCGATTATTTCAGACAACGCAATTGGACATCACGTTTTTCGGTGGTCCGAAGATGGTGAATGAAAGCCCGGAAGATAAGCATCAAGAACACCAATGCAGCAGAGAACGGTAATGAACAATATGAAGTCATGATCAGCAGTCTGACTAAACAGTCTGAGAAGGCCATGAAGAAACCAATAAGTGCGGAGATCGAACGTTCTTACTCTCGGACGCGGTATGAAGGGTGTACAAAATGCGATGGTTTTCGTTGTCACCGTTTCATTCATTCATCATGAGAACGACATACATGGAACAGGAAAGTACGGAAACTGATTGCGACAGCTCATATACGGAAGGTGAAAAATTCTAATTTCAGCCGCAGTGGAACTACAGGGATGTGTTGGTTGAAATTGGTGATCATGACGCCGAAGCGTCAGCAAGTAAACTACTGGGTGAGGACAATCTCTCCACAAGTTGAGCGTCCAAGTTCGGGGGTCGGATTCAGACACTCCATAGCACGGTTAAGTCAGTCGATCGAGGTTCTTATGCTTTCTAACCACATTGTGATCTCACCGCATTCGAAACCTAAGCACTTGGTATGTTACTCGACAAAAAGCGCTGTGTGATAGACGACCCTCCAAACATCACGTAGGCTGGTAAAAGTGTCATGACCTTGAGAATTTGGTGGAAATGGTAACGCGTCCTTAGCCTACTTGCACTAGTGCAACAGCTAAAGCTGGCGAATTCTCCACTCGGTCGATTAGCTAGTCCACTTAGATGAAGTATACAGACCGAAAGCCGTTAGCGAACAATCTACCACTGAATTGGAGTCTGTCCTCAATTACGATTTATTTGCATACACGGCACACAGAGTGAAGAAAGTGTTGTCTTTTGAGCCATAATAGTAGCATTGACGATAACACTAACGATAACATCTAAGTATCAAGTAGGCAAAACCACACAATGAGAACATACTTTTGTGCATTTTCAAAATATTGTAGGCCATTGCAATCAGAATTTTCTCTCCCTCGAGAAGGAAAATATCCCACAAACGAAGGACCAGGGAAACGGGGAGCTGCAAAAGTTGGAAACGTCCGTCCTTAGAAAAGAATCCCCCATACAAATCGATAACAGTGAATCGGGATGTAATACAACGAATAGGCAGGATTTGCAGACATGAATTCTGCATGCAGGGGGGATCGCTTAATGCCGACTTCGGAAGATTAAAATACGTGCCATTTTTATCAAGTAGCACGAGTAAAATTCACAATTATCTCGTATCCCCTCTGGCGTCATTATGCGCGCAGAAATTGTCGAGCGTCATTTGAGGCACGTGTTCGAAGCAAAAGGCATCGGCTATTCGGTCGTTGGTACGACCAAGGAGATATTCAAACTGACTTGGGATATACAATGAGACATCCAGGATTGCTCTGGATTGTCCATTTCGCATGGCACGACCTACTTTGTCATAAGGGTAAGGCAGGTGTCGGAGTATTGTCAATCAACTAGTGACCGTGCGAAATGCTAGAGACTAGTGCGTCTATTTATCCACCCTGAAATTTTAAGAGACCGCATTAATTGGAGCTGATAAAATTGCTGCGATATGTTGACATTTCTCCTACTTTTCTTGGTCGCGGACGTTAGACGTGCGGCTAATATACCAACAAAAAGTTGAAGTCTTTGGGTCAGAGGTCAAATCGTGATTCTGCACCGCCAACAGTTAGACATTTGAAAACCGGATTGACCCGGCCAGTTGCTTTCGAATCTTGTTGCGTAATCCAAGCCACAAGATTTCAGCGATAAGCAAGGCGCTGCTGATCAAATAAAATAGCCCCGACTATGTGCACAAAAACGGTTGAAGCAAACCAATTGGCTACTCCGGTATAGACCAGGTGACTCAGAGAAACCAACTAACTAGTGTCTGGTCAACATCGTTTTCACTCTATTTAAACAACTCACCTGTTTCAAGTCGGTGACTAGAGTCGAGGTTAAGATATCGCAAAATGTGTCGTGTCATCCGTCATTCAACCTTGCTTGGTAGGATTTCAGTTTTTGAGCACGTCAGCTTCAGCTGATCGTGTTTCTTATACAAGACAGCGTTTAACGAAACGCTGATACTTGTTCCAAGTGTACTTCCCACTAGATCTAGTTTGTTTGGAGGGAATTAGGAGATCGAAGATTCATACGCCTTAACCAAACCACTAACTACGATGGTGGAAGAGCAGCCATAGGTGTAAGTCTGGATCAAAATATACGCTATACGACGCCGAGTGTGTGAACTGATCACAATCGGTTAAACAGACCGGATCTAACAATCTCCTGAATAAGTTATTGAGCAAAACAAAGATTGCCTAGCGGTTCTATGACGGCAATTTTCGAACGTCTGGGTGAACATTTACTCATGGTAGTACCCTAAAGTTAAAGAAACTAATGATGCTTAGTCTGGCCACCTACTTACGTAACCTTACCTTGCAGCATGATAAGACGGCAATGTCAGATTAGTAAGTCACGTATCTACTCTGTGAGAACCGCGTAACAGTAAGGGGGTACAGGGTATGGTCCAAAATTGCGGGACCAACGGCACCGTTATTCTACAACGGCGGAAAGTGAGAACGCCCTCAGAGACACAAGTAAAGAGTGCGTATCCACAATACCAATGGGGGCTCATGTCCCGACATCCTTAAAGCCCGCGTTAAGAGGAAAAATGTGAGCATGATCGAATCACGGCAACTGCTGTTACTGAGAAACAGCGTCGTACGCTTAGAAACAAATTGATGTGAAGTGTCCCAAATTGAACAATGAAACAAAAACTTTCAAACATTATATATATATATATATATATATATATATATATATAAACTTACTCGATCTAGAAAACACTGCATGAACCACTTCAACGCGTACGTAGAGGTTGACAAATCTTGCTCCGTAAAGTGCTTGCTGACAGACGGCAGGAGACGCTTCACAACTCGCT